ACTTGTCATTTTAGATAGTATATGGTGGTAACTCTAAATTACCCTTTCCCTGCCAAAGGTTGATGTTGCTTTTTGGTTTATTTGTTTGCTAGTTTAATAATTTGCCTAGAATAAATCTATAAGATTTGTCTTCCCAAAGTGTGTGAAAATGGATCTCTCTGCTCAGTTATATATATATTAAATCTTGATTTTATTGTTTGTTTTTGTTCTTTGAGATTGTATCTCATTATGTTGCCCAGGTTGGCTTCAAATTCCTGCACTCAACTGATCCTCCTGCCTCAGCTTCTCATGTGCTGGGACTTTAGGTACATGGCACCATGCCTGACATACAAAAAAGCTTGACTTCCTGGGGGTGTCCCCCTTGTATGAATAACTTTGTGGTCAGCTAAGGATTGGACAGAGGTGGTGCCCAAATAMCTTGAGCCATTAAAACTTCTATCTTCTGCCAGTGAGTTAGTGTGTGGATAGGGGAGTACATTCAAATATCTAYCCTGATGTTTACTTTCTGCTGGGCCTTGTTGAATCTCCTCTGGATATGCTAAGAATGTGTAGATTGCTGGGTTCTCCAATGTGCATGTATGTAGCATCAMTCTGTCAGATGTTTGTCTCAACCAAATCTCATCTTTGGCTAGTAGAGCTTTTGGTCCTATTCATTTGTAGCTGCCAAGGTCACATCCATCAGTAACACTGCTGARCATAAGCATTTTCTAATGCCCCATATACAGTGAGCCTTCTTCGATCATGTCAATGAAAATGCCCATGCTCAGAGCTTGCCTGTAGAACATCTCTGATATCAGAGTAAGAAAAGGGAATGAGAGCTGTTTCATGCAAGAATGTTGTAGATTAATTGTTATTACCCAAAGTCAAAAACTTTTTCAAGCACAAATGCTTCTCAAAATGTTGTATCTTCTGTTGAATTCCAGAGCACCGATATAGTGGTTTGTCTATATTGTCCATTTTATTATTGGTTTTTGGGAAGAGGGTTTTCTGAAATTCTATTTTTAGTGGAGGAAAAATCCCAAGTCCTAACTATTATGTCTGTGTTAATCTGTTAGTTGCAAAAAGTTGAAGGCCCCATAAAAATCAGGGAAAATTGACAATCTTATCCAGGTTGAGAAAAAAGGCACAAACTGATGTAGTATGTTAGCAAATAACATGAAAAAGTGGGGAAAAGGCTTGATTTGAACCTAACCTTTCTCTTTACACCTTATAGCAGTATGACCAAAGAATCTCCTACAGGGCCCAAGTTTAAAAAGTCTCACCACCCCCCAATAGCACCATCCTAGGGATCAAGYCTCCAAACATGAACCTTTGTGAGGGCACACAATTAAACAATATCCAAACTGAAAAAAAAAGCCGATCAAAAAAATTTAAAAAGACAACCCATGTATGAAAAAGGGTCAAAGAACTTTTATAACCTCAATAGTAGTGAAAGAAATGCATATTAAACCAGATACCAATTTTTATTTATATTTTTAGTGCTGAGGATTGAACCCAGGACTTGGCACATAACTTGGCAAGCATTTCACCACTGAGATACACCCCCATAAAGGTGCAAACATTTAAAGGACAGTGATCAGTGCCAAGATTACTTTCTTGGGGATGTGGGCCATCTTATGGTGGTGGAAACATAATGCAGGACAACTGCTAGAGTTTTGTTTGGTAATATGTCTTTAACCTTGAAAATATTATTGGGCAAAGGGGAGGGAGGGGGGAGCATGGGGGCAGGAAAGATGGTGGAATGAGATGGACATCATTACCCTAGGTACATGTGTGACTGCACATGTGGTGCGACTCTACATCATGTACAGCCAGAGGAATGAAAAGTTGTGCTGTAATTGTGTACAATGAATCAAAATGCATTCTGCTAATTTAAATAAATAAATAAATAAATTTAAAAAGATATACCAATTCTGATAAAATTGTATTTTTTATTAATATTTTGCAAGTATTTTAGAACTTCATCTTCTCTTTAAGAATTTTATAGGAATCTATTAACTGGGATGAAAAATGCCACAACAGGACAGAGTATTGCTTATAATATTTTTTTACCATGGTACTTGAGGGGGGAAACTGCCTGYTTACTGGACCTACCTGAGTGACTGGCAGCCATTTTAAATAGGTGAGCTGAATGAAGGTTGCAAATGCATGTTTCAGGTCATGCCCACCCAGGAGAAGCCCTGGACCCTAGAGAAGGATGAATTGTTGGGAGGGAATTCTCTCAGTGCTGGGGGGACCCTGCCCCAAACGTTGCTGCTCTGTGCAGCAAGAGTGACCTGCTTAGTTCCAGCTTGGCCGGAGGACCCTGGCAGGACCTCTCACCTGACATGTGATTGGTGTGTCAGCCAAGAATGTGCTCAGCTGGGAAGGACATGACATCACTTGTGCCATTCTACACCAGCATTTAGGACTTTCTGTGCCAGGCAGACGAAAATGAGCAGATAAACTACTCACGAACCATCCTAACTCAAGTTATAGAAGTGAAAAGCAGCACAAGAAATGAATAAATTTGCTCTAAGAGTTCAGATTACACTAAGGGGTTGGGGATATAACTCACTTGGTAGAGTGCTTGCCTTACATGTACAAGACCCTGGTTTCAATCCTCAGTACCACACACACACACACACACACACACAAAGTATATATATCTCACAACAAATTACCCTTAAGAGTCAGGAACTGATTATATTCCTGTCCCCAGCCAAGCCTAAGGTGGCTGTGACTACAGTGGCTCCAATTCATTTGGGAACCCCAAAAAATAATAGTGGGAATTTTGGGGAAGCCCAAAAGGAACTCTCAAGAGTTCTAAGGTCCTTAGAAGGATAATACCTCTACAAATAGTTCTTTTCCCTTTTTTATAGGTTCAGAAAAATAGATTACTTAAAACATGTTTTTTTTAATACTCCATACTGCTTGACTTGGAATTATACTCAAGTTTTTATGTCTTTACATTTAATCACAAACTCATGTATTTTTTGGTGCAATAGAGGTGCACCAACTTAGGACTTCTTTTTTCTCTTCAACATCCTACTCCTTCCATCTCTCCTTTAATAATCACAGAAAATTCAAAGCAAGTGTCCTGAACTAATTGGGTTCAATTTCAAGATCTCTTATTTTCTTCTATCCCTGCTCCTAAGATTGAAATAAAAATTCCATGGCTGCAAGATGATAATGAAGCAAATATGGTCAAATCAGCCAGTTATTCTATCAATCTTCTATTTCTTCTTCTTCTGCTCCTTTATTTTTTTGTGAGATGAATTCTACAGATTGAAGGAGTTAGTTTTTCAACTTGTTTGTGAGAAGGAAAATTAAGTTTCACAGTAAAATACATTCTACTGTCATGTATAACTAAAAAAGAGCAAATAAAATATTTTTTAAAAAGTTTCAATGTTTAGATTAAAGTACTCCCAGGCAACTTGTCTTTCATAACCATACCACATTTGTCCTCTCTTGCTGTGTGTGAAGACGTTTGTTTATTATTTACCATTATTCCTCCTCCTCTCTTTATTCCCACCTTCAAGTTATCTCTCCTTGTCCAGAAAGTCCCTGTGAAACGCTCAGCTTTACAGAAATCCAAAAAATACCCACAGTCACTGATCCTTGGTAACTAGTGCATTCTGTTGCATTGCAAAGGTGTGTTCTCAGGAGACAGGTATTATTTTATTTTATTTTTTATTTTTTTATTAGTTGCTCATGACAATACAATGATCTTGACATATCATACATTTGAATCAAATGGGGTATAATTTCTCATTTTTCCAAGTGTATAGGTTCCAGAATCACATTGGTTATACGGCCATGTATATACATACAGCAATACTAGTGTTTATTTGACAGGTGTTATTTTAGATTCTTAGCGTTCAACGTCTATCTTCCCATAAAAAGATAATATTCAGAAACAAATTGATTCTACAGTACATTTATTCATGTTTAACCATTTTAGATAATTTTTTTTGGTCTGCAAAACAACGTTGCTTTTGAGGATTATAGTGCTCATAMCAGAGTGAAAACTTATAGTTATGTCCCTTTCAAAGTCACCCACTTGGAGCTGCTAATTTTAGCTGTCTCTGGGTCTCACAAGAGGTTTCTTTCTAAGCTGTCAGTATTCAGGTGCCATGCATTAAAATACTTTTGTCGTGAGACAAAATAGCTACAGAAGTATACCTCTGGATTTTGTTTTTTTTTCTTGGATTTGGACAAAATTCAACCATAGAAATGCCTACAGTACAAGTTGACTTTGTCAACAGGAAGAGTTTCTGGCAATCTGAAGGAATAGAGCTCATGGTATTTCTTCTGAGACTTTCTTCTGATCTTTGTGTATTCTTTTATTTCTTACTAGTATAGTCAAAATAGGAAGAGGGTGTGGATGTGCATGTGGAGGGGGAGGCGGGGTAGGGAGGGCAGGGGAGAATGGGTCCTGCCTTGTTTCTGTGGCTCAGAGAACTTCCGAGGACGACTATAGTGCCATTTCTAAATGAACAACACATGACTCTTATTTTCACCTCTTCTCTGCCCTCCCTTCAGGTTTCCTATGTACTTTAAGCGCCTGCTCCCTGTGGTACAAAACCCTGGTGTGTGTTACTCCAGCCTCCTGGAGCCGTTTTGCTTTCCTAAGAGAGGAGCCATTAACTCCTGTTTGGTCTGTGTAAGGAGCTGTCAGTGTCCCCACAGCAGCATTCTGTGACAGCTCATCTGGGTTTCATCAGCACTCTGGGGCAGCGTTTCACCAGGCCCCTTTGCCAGAGCCTCCTCGGCGTCAACAAGTGTCGCACCTACTGCAGAAACAGCCCTCAAGTTTCATCACAGTGATGCTCAAAAATATTCTCCAGCTTCGGCAATGACCTAGTTCATTCAAGGGCAGGGGAAAAAATGCCCTTCTTCCAGAACTTGCCCGGGCACAGAGTTTTCCTCTTAGGAAGACAGGACTCCCAATTGTGCTTTGATCAGTTTTTGGAAAAGACCTTGAATTTGAATCCCTGTCCCAGAAACCGCGTCACCCAATCAATGTCTCAGATACAGCCTGGGGAGCCCACCAYGGAGCCAGCCCTCCAATAACATCTCTTGGACAAACAGTACTGAAAAGTAAGTATGGAGACTGGTTCTTACTGAAGGGATGGCTGTGCTTTAAATACACAATCGTTTACATTTTCTACAACTAAGAGCAAAGCAGACTGCTTCCTTAAGAACTAAAACAAGATGAAGCAAGGGGTATCTGGGTGGGACGCTGGGGCATACCACAGTTTTAATGTGGCCAAATTCTCTTGGTCTGGTAGTTTAAGTCTACTCTGACCTTTCTTTTCTTTTTCTTTTTCTTTTTTTTTTTTTTTTTGAAAATTATGATTATTTTAAAATGTTTTTTATTTTGGCTTGACAATAATTAAAATAGTTTCTTTCAAACTGTGTCTGTCTTAACAACTAGAAAAAACAGAGGATAACTCAAAGGAATGGTCTGCAGGGGCTTTGCAAAGTAACATGAAAAATTGAGATAGTTATCTGGGTAATTCTGGCCCCAGATACTTATGCCTAATATAAATGAGTATTTTAGTCAAAAAGTTATTCCTCTTCCTTGGATTATCTGAACGATTGAAAATTTGAAAATTTGCCCTTTCTGGAGGACACAGCAGTAGTTTTTCTAATAACAGGTAATGCAAGTTGCTGAAAAGATCTCTGATTATTTCAAAATAGCTCGATGGCTCATGCAAACATTCATCCAGTTGTTAGGTAGGTTTTTTTTTTTTTTAATGTAAGGCAAAAAGTCAGTAAAAAAAAAAATGCCTGCTGATAAAAAGGCRCCACCATCATGTTACATTTTAATCAACACATCTAAACTTTAGAGCCACTGATTAAGGGTGTCAGTTACAGRCATCTGACAATCATTTAAAAATAGATAAAAGCAAGAACAGCATTTAGAATTGCTTCTGYTTGAATTATTTCCTTTCCTCAACCTTCCCCTTGTGCAAAGGTAGCCCTCATTTTTGAAGAACAATTAATCAGGAATGGTAGTCATTCTTACTGCTCTGAAGGCATACAGTTTATTTCACAAATAATGGGCTTGTCTGCTCTGAGCCTTCTCAATTGGAACCCAGGATGCTGAGAGCTACCTTCYGAATCAGCAACTCTACAAATCCTGTACTAAAAGGTGCTGATGGCCAATAGACATATTCAGATCTTGGAAACCAGGATTTGAAATCAACGAAATGTCTTTAGGCTCCCAAATAWCATTCCTCTTTTAAAGTTTATATAAAACACTTGATCAAAATTTGAGGATACTTTTAGGTAGGGMAGAATTCCTGTTTTTATCACCTGACCCCCCTCACACTCCCCCCAAAAAGAAACATTAGTTTTTTATAGCTCCATGCACACTTACATGTAGCTCTCAGCCTATGTGCAAGGGGAGGGCCATTGTGAATAGTCTCATCTGGATGGAGCTGGGAACGAAGGGAGCCCAGGCATTGCAGTCAAATTCGGAATCAACTTCTGACTCCAGCACAGTTTTTCCAAATGTCTGAACCCCAGTTTTTTTTTTCACCTGTAAAATGAAGAAAATGACATCCACTTTACCAGAATTGATGTGTGATTAGATGAGTAAATATATCTAACATATCTGCCACATCTGAGTTTCTCAGCAAAAGTTAGTTCATCACCTTTGTTCATTCAAAGTTTCTTTCTTTCTCTTTCTTGTTGCTAAGACTTCAGGATATGATCATAATATTAACTCTATGAAGTAACAGAAACTATACCTTAGAGATATTGGTAGGGTGATTAAACAAACAACATGGAAAATTAGACTAAGGAAAATTCTGTATTTGGAAATAGTGCGTTTAGAAATAAAATTATTTTTAAAAAAGAACTATGTTTTGGAATSCATCTAATAAATAAGAAAAACATTTTACAGAAAATCATTGGCCATATGTTTACTATCTAAAAAGAGAGGTAGAGATTTATCAGCTTCATCTTAGACTACYTTTATCTAGCAATACCATATTTAGATATGAGTGTTTGGGAATGGATAGGAATGGAAGATGGAGTCAATCTATATATAAGGTGATGTCCATGATTATTATGGAAACTATGAAAACTGAGGCCCAAGTCCAGATTTTCCTCAAAGATGATAGTTGAGACCTGCATTGATTAGACCTGCTGTGGAGTGGAGTGGATAGAAGTGGCGGTGATGACTCTGAAGAGGATTGTCAGTATGTGGGGGCTGAGCAGAGATAGTTCCTGGATGGGCCATCTCAGGAGCAGTGCAGTTTCTAGTACTAGGGACCACCCTGTGGGCTGAAATCGCAAGTTTCATGGTGAAAGTTCACAGTGAGCAAGGCGCTCTCTTGTTCTGAAGGCGGTGAGTCAGGCACAGGAAGGGCAGGYGAGAATCACCAGCAGGACTTGTGAGATAGCCCCAGAGAACTTTACAGATGTCATTCTTATTAGCCATTGTTTTTACCATCTTAGTCAAAAGTATCACTCCACAGCTTTCCCCAGACACATCAGGGTGATTTTGATGGATTTTCTGTTTGAGCTACTGACTGGTTCACATGGAAATGCCAAAAAGAAAAACTGGAATTRGAGAAATGTAAAAAACTTGGGAGAGAATGGTGTCATCTAGGGGCTAGCAAAAATGAGGGCRTAAATACCCAGCCTACACAAGAGAAAAGAACATTTAAAAAAGTTTAGAGACTTTATTAGGATTTCTGCAGATGTGCACCCTGCTGGCATGGTCTAAAAGCACACAATCAATCAGGGCATTGGACCTCAGATTGAAGAGACAGACAGCAGGTTAAAGAGAGGCTCAGTCCTGGAAAGCTCAGGTCTGGACACCCSGCACCTACCTCTCAAGGGCCAAACTCTGCATGGCTCCTAATGACACATCTGGGGTGGCACCAGTCACCTCGATCTTCAATTGATCCTCACCCAGCTCTTAGATAACCAGGCTCATTTTCCCCCTCAATCCTGGTCTAAGACATTTTCCTGAGTCCAGTTATTCTCACACTTTCAAGTGCATCCATTTAAAGTGAWTGTTGTTAAAATACCAGTTGCTGGGCTCCACCCATCAGAGTCTCTGATTCTGAGGACCCCAAGAATTTGCATTTTTTCCTGGTGATGCTGATGGTGAGATGCCCTGCTTCAGACATTTCTTTGGCCTGCAGTTCCTCAAGAAAACCTGCTTATGCTTCTTATTTTCAATCACTGAACTTGCCTTCCTTCTCAGAGACACCCAGGTCACTGATACAATGTGCTAGTGCTGTAGTGAACACAAAAGAAAAATCAATCGGGTATCCTGCAGGCAAACCCATTACAGTATAGCTGTGTATGAGGGATGCTGGGCCTGGGGACCATACACCCTGGTAAGCAGTCCATTACTTGAAGGAGGCTACTTTTTCCAACTGAAGATGTCAGGGAAATCTTTAAAGGAAGCGAGCATTTGAATTTGGGCATTTATTTGAAAACAGGTGGGATTTGAACAGATGGAGGAGRTCCTTTTATGTAAAGGAAACAAGAAAATATGGACAAAAACATGAAGGACAGAAAGATAATGAGTGTGGAGATGGGAGATTAGTTTGGTGGGTCCTGGCCTTTCACAGCTCTCAGCACTTTCTTGGGGGAAGCATTCTTTAATTGAGCCATCTAATCTTAAATCTGTTATTTGTCTGTAACATGTTATAATTGTTATAATTGGAGATCTGAAATGGAGAGCCAACGGTAGGATTTCAGGGCTCAGGTCAGARGAGGAGAGGGCATAGGCGCTTCACTATGCCCTCCAGAGGTAACCGAAAAATCAACTCTAGCTTAAATAACACGGAGAATTACTGCTCACTCAATGGAAAAGTCCAGGAATTTGGTCAGAACCCCTGTTCTGTTTCCCTGCGTTTTGGGGTCTCGGCCTCTTCCCATTTTGGTTTCAACCTCAAGCCAGCTTTCGCACAGTCCCGAGACAGTCGTCTCTCCAGAGAGGTACCCAGCCTTCTGCAGGCTTTCTTTTTCCTGTCGAGGACCAAGGGAAAGACGTAAGGTTTGCACTGATTGGATCACTGCCACCACTGTCTGAGAGTGCCACGTGATGATTGGCTTAGACTTTGGTTAGTGAACCAATCAGTGGGCAAGAGTGCTTATCAGTTTAGACCAATCAGAGTCCACGGAGCAGAAAGGGCGAGGTCCTGCCTGCTCTAGTCACCAGGCGGCCAAGCAATAGGAGACCCATGGAACTGTTAGGAGGATGCTTTAGAGTTTTAGGATTTTTTTTTTTTTTTTTTTGAGAAAGGTCGCCAAAACTCATACCGTCACCTCCTTTAGTCATAAGGTTATCTATGGGCAGCGGCCATGCTTTAAAGATTTAGGATGAGCCTGCTTTCAAGTTCAGCCCCGACAAATTAAAATATTCTTCCACAAAATAGGTTTACTGTCAACCGAATGAACCTTGGCTCCTAAGAAGCTGTAACTGGCTGAGTTGAAGGATGATAGTAAAAGCTGTGCAGAGGTGACTGCCACCCACCACTACCATATCCCCACACAGCTGATGTGCTTTGAGTCAGTGTACTGAGAGGTGGTTGGTTCAGCATAATGAATTCAGGCTCAGTACGTTCCTCCCAGAGTGGATCTTATTCTTGTGTGCAGGGCAAGGAGTGGGTTAGATAGAAGAGAACCGAAGATTTCCTAGGTTCTCTTCTATATTGCCTGGTTCCTGAAATTCCACATCATTTCATCTCTTGGACCCATTTAAAATAAATGCTCTCTACAGAGTTGYCCTGGGAGTTCTGTTACAGGGGAAAGGAGCTGGAGGACTCTGGGAGTCTGGGCAAACGTGGGGGATGAGAGGAGGAGCCAGAGGAGGAAGTCTTTACTATGTGGTGTTCTTATTGACGGCCCTGCTGGCACATTACCAGATTGCTCACTACAATCAGCCTGCAACATTTAACTTCAAACCAGAATGATATTAATCAGTTAATTCATGAAAGTTGGTCTCATTACACCTCCACGACCTGTGCATTTTTTATCCTTATAAGCTCTCCTCTCATCCCTGTCTTTATTCTGAGAGAGATCAAGGATGAGATGAGCAGGGGACTGTGTCCTTTGAATACAACACACTGAGAATCAGAATCAAGAAACCTAGATTCTGCTACTAACAGGCTGTGTGACCTGCCTGTGTTTCATTTAACCTGCCTGTGTTTCAGATGTGTTTTCAAACTGTAAAATCAGGGAATGGACTAAGCTCTTGCACAGCTTTCATTTAATATCTAGCAATTTGTTTTAGCCTTACCTTAAAGAATTAGAAATTGGCACAGGTTTTAAAGAGAGGAGAAGAGAATCAGTGGGAAGACCCTCCATCCACTTAAAAATTTTTAAAAAGAAAGTTCAAAACAAATCGAGAGAAAGCAGCAGCTACAGCTCAGCCTTTCTCATGTCTCTGTGAGTGTCTGTATCCAGACACACTTGCACATGCAGAGGTGTTCACTATTAATAATGAAAAATTAAATTTCATTTCTTTATTAGCTAACATATATAAAGTTACTATCTTAAGTAATATTCCCCCCCCCCACACACACACTGGGGCCCTCTTCCAGGGGCAACCAGATTACAAATTTCTTGTATATTTCTAAAGTTATTATATGTCTAAATAAACATATTAGGATATTCTTTTTGTCTTTTTCCTTTTTTTTTTTTTTGGTTTTGGGGATTGAACCCAGGGGTGCTTTCTCACTAAGCTACATTCCCAGTCCTTTTTATTTTTTGAGACAGATTCTTGCTTAATTGCTGAGGCTGGCCTTGAACTTGCTATCCTCCTGCCTCAGCCTCTCAAGTCACTGGGATTATAGTCCTGCAACTACCTTGCCTAGCAGGATATTCTTCTTTTCTAATACAAGGATAGCATACTCTGCACTTCTATACTCTATTTCACTTAACAAWAATATATCTTGGAGATTATTCCATGTCTGTGTGTACAGAACTGCCTTGTTCTTTTTTAATGCCCTCTTCTATTTAAAAAAATCCATTGTTTAGATATACCATAACCATATTCCTAAGAATGAATATTTAATTTTGTTATTACAAGAAATGCTGCAATGAATATTGTAGGTGCCTATTAAGTGCTTGTCTCTTGTGCTAACACAAAATTTAATGTGAGGCATATTTTATGTATCATGTCATTCACCCTTTCTAACTGTTCACTTCAACAACTTTTTAGTTAATTTACCAAATTGCATGACCATTGCTATAGATAAATTTTAGAACAGTTTTGTCTCCTGAAAAAGATACTTATCCTTCATRTGGATTTATTAGTGTTCTCTCCACTGTTCATACCTCCAGCAGTCAATAACTTACTTTCTGTCTCTGTTGCTTCTTTTGGTTATTTTGTATAAACCGAATCATACAACATGTGGTCACTTGCGTCTGGTCCTTTTACTCAGTGTAATAAAAGCATTATCGGAGGTTCATCCATGTCATATCATGTACAGTTCCTTTGGCCCTTTTAATCCATCAGTTGTACAGCYATGCCATATTTTGTTTATCTACTCACTAGCTGGAGATTTGAGTTATTTTCAATTTGGGGCTATTCGGAGTAATATTGCAAAGAATGTTTGTGTACAAGTCTTAGTGCAGAAATCTGCTTTTATTTCTCTTGGTAAGATACCTAGGTGTTGAGAGGTTAGGTCATGTGGGAAATTTAGGTTTAACTTCTTTAGAAACTTCTGAATTGGTTTTCAAAATGTCTTTACTATTTTTACATCCCCACTATCAATATAGGAGGATTCTTCCTGTTTTCCACATCCTCACTGTGACATTTGGTATCTATTATAGCCATCCTAGTGGGTATGTAGTRGTATCTCATTATGGTTTTAATTTGCAATTCCATAATGACTAATGATGTTGAGCATCTTTTCTTGTGCTTATTTTATTGCCTCTATTTCTCACATACAACCCTAAAATTATGCCTAAGAAAGAAGCATAATATCTGTGTTCCAGAAAACCTGGGCTCCTAGCTCAGCTCTGCCACTTGTAGGCCATAAGAAATTAGGCTTGTTATATCAACCCTTTACTTAAGCTTCCAGGTCATTATCTGTGAGATGGGAAAGAATATCCACTTGGGGGTTTCGCTGTGAGGACTCCCTGTGGTCATGTCTATGTGGTGCCCAGCCACGGGACTGACACATGGGAGGCACCAAAATGTGTTAATTGTCTCTTCCTGCATGGTCTGTCTCCATCCCTGCCCCAAATGTCAAGAACCCATCTTTGGGGAGGGTACTTCCCCTAAGTAACATGGGACTGGTATTAAGTGACAGTGGGTGTGGTGTCCAAATGTTCAGTAATTCAGAAGGCAAATTTAGGAACGCCATGGCCATTGGATTAGGCTGGTTAATCAGAMCTAATCCCTCCTGTCCCCAGTGGGAAGGCACTCTGACGACCGGCTTTCCTGCCAGCTCCATGGTCTGTGTGTGGGCTGAAGCCTCTTTCCTGATCCCTTCAGCTGACAGCAGCCTTCCTGCTGACAGCAGCCATGCCACTGGTTCTCTGTGTGAGGCAGATTAGCCAAAATGAAACCTGGCATCATTTGAGTGTTTTCAGTGTTCCAAGAAATCCTCTAGCCTCTCACTTGCTCTCCACCAATTTGAGAAAAAAGGCTTTATTTTTGGAATTTTGTTGATGTTCAATCCAAAGCCCCTGATAATAGATAACATTTATACTAGGCTCACGATGCTGTTCAAAAGAGCTTCATTCAGACTGACTCCATTTTCATAGCAGCCAAACGGAGTAGATACTGCTATTGTCTTCGTTTCATAGATGAAGAAACTGAGGCAGAAAGAAGTGGCAGAGCTAAGACTTGAACTGAGGGAGCACCGTGCAGGAATCTGCACTCTTCAACGCTATATCATACTGCCATTCCCCTAAAGGACCTGCTGTTGTAAAAAGACCCAATAAAATGCACATGTGAATACTCTTCCACCTGACGATTCTGTTTCTTGGTATCTATTCTAGAAAACTACATGCACAAGGAAGCATGTGCCAGGATGTTCAATGAGATAGCATTTGTAAATCTGGAAACCTCCAGCCAAGCTAGGCATCATTATCAGTAAACAAGCAGAGAGAGAAAGCCTGGTACTGCCATGCYGTGGGATACCAATATCACCTAACAGTTTTTAAGAAAGGTTGGAGCCCTCTAGGGATTGGATGGATATCGTAAGATTCCTGAAACTTATTATAAAGTAAAATAAGGCAACTGTAAGGAAAGCATACACAATCAGGCTCCATGTAAGTAAAGGCATTTAACATTTTTAAACAAGTGATAAACCTTCCCTGGACTATACAACTGAAATAAAGAGAGAAAGGGAGGAAGGAAGAYAGCCCAGTGTTCTTTCCAGTTAACACGCCGTTCCTGTGAGGTCATCTTGAAGCCCACCACGGCCCCYTCTGCTAATACTAGCAATTCCACGTTGACTTGTCATCTCTCGCAGAGAATGATAAATGTGTCCTCATGCATTCTCACCCTTAGAGATGCCGCGAAACATGACCTGTGGCCTGACTTAACTGTCCTCTTTCTTTCCAGAGAACAGTCAGTGCCCTTGCTGAGATGCGTGGTAACTAACCTGCCTGTGTGAGTCAGACGGGTGTGTGCGTGTCAGTGTTTTCACGTGCGGGGTGCCACCGTCAGGAAGKAGCCACTTAGGGAGGAGTCACGGCTGACGCACAGGGTCCTCACCGTGGGCCCAGCTCTTGATGCCTGGGTGTGTCCTTCTTCCCTTCCCATCCACAGCASTGGTCTCAGGAACAGGAGCTGAAGGAGTCATGCCCTGAAATTACTTTTACAGACAAGGATTACTCTTGGAGACATGTTCACCCACTAATTAGTACATCACTTAAATAACAAATCATTGCGGTAACCCACAGCAGAAAAGGAAACACATGAAACAAGCCAAGTCTTTCCTTAGAGCCTCCTGATTACCAGTATGAAAGCAATTATGTAACAGTTTCTTACACTGAAATTGACATACAATATTCTAGTCCTCAGAACATCATCTCCTTTTACAGAGGAGGAAATAAGCTCAATACCTTGCCCAGGTAAATGGATATAGATTTGTCCCTGCCAGCTTGGATTGTGTCCCCAGGCCTATGATGCCTCCCAGTTAGGAGAGCATTTTCCAGCTATAAGATCCCCCCAATTGCTGGAAAGTCACTTAGGAATGTGGTGAGACAGGGTAGATATCCTCTTGCCCAATAATTGCTCCAAAAAAGTGTTGCAGATTGTCCCAAAAAAAGAACTAAGTACTGATACATGCGACAACATGGACGAGCCTTGAAAACATGCTAAGTGAAAGTTCTATTTATCCAAATGTCCAGAATAGGCAAATCTATACAGACAGGAAGTAGGTTAGTAGTTATCTAGACCAGTGTGTGTGTTGGTACTGGGCATGGAAATAGGCAGGAGGTTAAAGYTAAGTGGTATTGGGCTTTTGGAGGCAATGAGAACATTCTAAAGTGATTGTTGCTAGGGTTGCATGAAAATCACATTTTAAGTGAGTGAATTGTATGGTATATGGATTATCTCATTAAACTTGTCTTTAATTTAATTTATTATTATTTTTGTRCAGGGGSATTGAACCCAGGGCCTCATGCATGCCAGGCAGGTGCTCTATCACTGAGCTACATCTGCAGGCTAAACCTGTCTTTATAAAGGGAGATGTTAAGAGAGACAGCATGGTTATGGGTTAASAATTCACAGGAGTTGGGCTTTCTGACTTGAAGCCACAGTTTTATATATTTGTGGACCCCTGTTCCATCCTTGTGCTGTGTTGAGGGCAGAAGATGAGTATATGAACACAATTTGCAGCACTGGTTGTAAAATCACTAGTTGAAAAACAGAAATTTGGGGCCTGAAACCCTGGGTTTGATCACCAGTGCTGCAAGTGTGTGTGTGCGCACGCACACACACACACACACACACACACAAATTGGACTTAGATTTTATTCTGACATATGTTTACATTTAGCTCTAAAATAATTTGCTGTATGATAAGCAATGGCTGGGGCTGGGGATGTGGCTCAAGCGGTAGCGCGCTTGCCTGGCATGCATGCGGCCCGGGTTCGATCCTCAGCACCACATACAAACAAAGATGTTGTGTCTGCCGAAAACTAAAAAATAAATATTAAAAAAAGTCTCTCTCTCAAAAAAAAGAAATGATAAGCAATGGCAACTTTTTAATCTCAGATCACATTTACAGTTCTGGGGCAGGGGATATAGCTCAGTCGAGAGAGTGCTTGCCTYGCATGCACAAGGCCTTGGGTTCAATCCCCAGCACCTAAAAAAAAAAAAAAAAATTACAGTTCTGGCTTTCATTGACAGTTTGAACCTCTAACATGGGTGAGTAAATGCACTACTATTGATAGAAAAGCTGTTTCTGCCAATTGTGTGAGGTCCTAGTTGCTTTTCTTGGTTTGCTGTGCACTGATGGACCTGCACTCACTCTGGAATATTCATTGTAATAACTTGACCTACCTACCTTCCTTCCTTCCTTCCTTCCTTCCTTCCTTCCTTCCTTCCTTCCTTCTTTCTTCAGTGCTGGGGATGGAATCTAGGGCCTTGAGCATGCTGGACAAGAGCTCCACCCTGAACTAAATGCCCAGCGTTCATCAAGTTTTCTTGAAACATTTTCATTCTGGTGCAAGATGGCTGCCATAAAAGTTGCCCTTTTGATTTTTTRAATTTTAGATACTTCCTACAACCTAATTGGGAATAACTTGCCATTCYAATGTTTTCTAAGAGATACTGTCAGCCCTCCGTGTCTGGGAGGATTCCACATCTGTGATGCAACCACTGCAGATCAAAAATATTTGGGAAATAATTGTACCTGTACTGATTACGTAGAGACTTTTTCTRTTATTACTCCCTTAACAACACTGTACAACAATTACTTCCATTGTATGAGGTATAATAAGTACTCTAGAGRTGATTTAAAGTGTACAAGAGGATCTGCATTAGTTATAGGCAAATTCTACATCATTTTATATAAGGGACTTGAACATCCACGGATTTTGATATCTGAGGTATCCAAGAAATAATCCCCTGAGGAYACTGAGGGACAAATGTAATAATATGAATTGAAACTGGGATTTTTATACAAGTTGGTTTAAATTTCTCAGCCTAAAAGTGTATTTGTAACCTAATTGGTAACRGAGATATCCATTTGCCATCTTGCAGAGGAATTTTCTTGCAGAAAAATGCTGTGTGCAACTAATTTGCCATCTACACTGTGAAAGGCTTACCTGACTCTTAACTATAACACRGTCACCTTATGTGGTCCAGTTTCTCTTTGCACAACTGCATTGAAAGAAATCCTGTAACCAAAAATAATGGGAAGTGCATTTCAAGTCTGTCTTAAAGAAATGCAAAAGAATCCAATTCACAATCTCAGAGCAAGTATTTTTAAAACCTTCCTTTCCATCCTTCTATCAGAACCTGGCAGCACTCAGCCTTGTCAACTTTCTCTACAAACTTCTCTCCCAGCCCTCATGGTTCTGCCCCAAGTCTGTTGGAACACCTGTCTTTCTTTTTGCTGGGAACTGTACCTCTTCAGCTTTACAGTGCTTTCTACCTATCACGTGAACCAGTTTAACTTCAGGTTCAAGCTTAGAGATGCTTCCTGCACGCTCTCTGAGGAAGGGAAGGCAGCATTATCCTTCTGAGTTAATTGCTTTTTCCTCTAATACTCAGAGAGCATGGGTGTTTCATGCAGGGGAAGTTTGGGAATTCTTTTTGTTTTCAGGTATTCACCTTATTTTATTTTGGTGGTGCTGGGGATTGAATTCAGGGCCTTGTGCATGTGAGGCAGGCACTCCACCCACTGAGCTATATATCCCCAGCTCCTTTCTTTCTTCTTCTTCTTTTTTTTAAAAAAAATATTTTTAAAGGACACAATACCTTTATTTTATTKATTTATTTTTTAATGTGGTGCTGAGAATTGAACCCAGTGCCTCACCCATGCTAGGCAAGTGCTCTATCACTGAGCCACAACTCCAGCCCCACTCACCTTATTCTTAAAGGAACATTCAGGGATAAGGTGAACACTGAATTTCAGAAGCAGCAGGTGGTGTCTCAGTCAGGCCCGAGTAGATCCTAGTTTCAGCATTTGTGAGCATCTACCAAGCAGGGCTGGTCTAGGGGCTTGGGTCTATGTTTTTGGCCAGRGATGAGCCAGAGAAGGGCCCTTTCTTTAATACTCTGCTGTTATTCTAAAAACTTAATCCCTCTTGAACAAGGAACCCCTCATTTTCATCTTGAATCCTGCTACTGAGGCAACGTTTCCAAACATCCTTTGACTCCCAGTGAGGCTTCCTCTCCTTGTTCCTGCTCGTGGGAGGAGGAGTTTCAGTTGTTAGCAAAACCTTGAACTGTTGTCAGGGAACTTGTCTCTGCCAACCATCTCTCAGGGTAGCAGACAACCTGGAAAATTGGGAGGAGAGGGTGAAGTAKGTGTCCAACTCTGACTCCACGCAGAAGGGGTTCCCCTTCTGCATTACAACTGTGGCCCATTAGATAGGCTTCTCCCACCACAAACTTGGCTCAGACYTCTGTCTTGGGGTCCCCAGTCTTCCTGCGCTCACTGTTTGCAGTTTCTGTCTTTTCCCTCTTCTTGCTCACCACACTTCACCACATTGTGGTTCCTACTTTTTTCTGAGCTCCGTGGTATATGAGGGCTGCTCACCAAGCTAAGAGGAAGTGGGACCCTACTGTTTGGATACAGCTCAAAGTGATTTCCAAGCTCGAGGCWCCACACAAGATAGTCTTGGTTGAGTGGTGCTAATGTGTGTTTGGTTGAATGGGAAGGAGAGGTCCTCTGGATTCAGACCCACCTGTCATCTAAAGTCTGCCTCTTATCTGCCAAGTTGTGCCCTGCAGAACTCTATCTGCCCATKGTGTGCTAAAGGTGCCAGCCTGCACAGCCCCATAGGCAGCCTCAGGTGGCAGCTGCCGGGGCTGTGAGATCAAGGAATGCACGCTGGCTCAAAAATACAAGCCCAGTACCTGTCCTCCCCTGGGGAATCTGTCTTGTGCTCAGAAGGAGGAGTAGCTTCCCAATTTCAAAATCTCTCCCATCTGGAGATTTGTCTGAATATATTCCACTCTTCTTTTGGGAGACAAATATGCATAGACACTTTTTTGAATCCAATAGAAAAAGAGAGGCCGCTCTGGCAGTCCTGGGGTTGGCCTAGGACTCTAGGACCAGTGGCTCTCAACCAGGGCTGCCCCTGCTCCACCCCAGTCTCATACACAGAGAGCTGGGGAGTGCTGCAGGTATCTAGTGTCGAGAGGCCGGGATGCTGCCCAGGATGGCCTGCAACGCAGTGTGCAGGTGGCACCCAGGCTGCCTGAGGACTTTCTGGATTCTCAGGGAAGCTGCAGGAATCCCAGAGATAGAGTGATGAGTCCAGTGATGTTGGGCATGTCTGTTTTTCAGATTCCCGTGGCATGAAAGGATGACAGACGCAGGAGGGCCCCAGAGGCGCGCACTGTGTTTTTTGTCTACACTCCTATCCCAGAAGGTTCCTGAGAAGACAGACCTTGTGCTCCGCTGCATGATATCCGGTAATCATCCTAGACTATTCACTCACCCTCTAACTTCTTCCTGCAGACCAGGGGTTTAGGCTCACAATGGCATTATGAAAACATCCTTTGGGAAAATTGATGGGAAGTTTATCCTGAGGAATTAATTAAGCAGCTAAATCCTCATGAAGTTTTTCAAGTGACTTCCTGGATATTGGTTAATGATCTTCTGACTTCATGGGGTGGTTCTCGGTTAAGCAGCTCTCGCGCTGGCTAGTTTTTCAGACAATCCACTCTTTACTTCCTGTGGTACACAGGAATGGCATGAGTGATCTCACTTCAGAATATCTACCCAACTCTCCAGTAACTCTTTAACTGATCTCCCCAAATTGGTTCAATTTGCTCCCCACTGCTGGCTTTCCTCAGGCATGCTAGTAAACAGTGAGAAGTTTAAAGCCCGAGACACAGAGTGCCCAACAGAGGAAAAGCCAAGGAAGGAATTGCCCCTGGACTGGAGAATAAATCACTCAGAGTTGATCAGGTATTAGTACCTCTAATGGCAAAGGGACCAATCATTAGTACTAGATCTCTACCATTGAAAACATGAAGGCATCAGCAGTGTTCCCTGGGGGTAGACAGAAAACTCTCATCCCCTTGATCCTTTTTCCTAAATCCATAGAGGAGAAGAGCCAGACTTGGAGATGGCTGTGTGGTCTGGAAGCTGGAGGGCCAGACTATGCACTTCATCTCAGCAAGCCCAGCGCTTGCTTTCTCCACACTTACCAGTTATCATTGAGACAAACAGAGAGACACAAGTTGACCTTGAGTCTCTAGGGAGAGCCCCATGTGTTAGACCCTAAACTTGGCTGCCAGTCCCCGCACACCTTAGCCAAATAATTCTGAAACATTCAGGAGGTGGCTCTCAATATGTGACTTAACAGCAAGTTTCAAAAAACAAGGGGAGGAAGAGCTGGGGGTGTAGCTCAATGATAGAGCCCTTGCCCAGCATGCACAAGACTTGGTCCCATCCCCAGTACCTTGAAAGGAAAAAAAAATCAAACAAGGGGAGGATTTTCATGTGAGATTTCCAGCAAGTGGAGGGAGAGAAAAGAGAACCACCCACAAGGTACGAGATACCACTTCCCTAGGCAAGTCTCATTTCTGGCTTATGGTTCAGATCTATACTGCACGAAGGGAAAAAACCAGTCAGCCATGAAGAAACTGGGGGAAACCAACCAGCCCTGATCAACCCGAATGAGCAACTGGAGTCCAGGAGGTCGGAATGCCAGTATTCTGGCCTACCTCATGCTTCTTTTATGTACTTTCTTCAAAAAAGTCATGCACGCACACAAAAAGAGCCATGAAACGCTTCTTAAAAAGGAACTTAAATAAAACTGGGAGACACAGGTTGATAAGAACAGGCAGAAACAAGTGATGATCTGAACCTCACTGATGGGTTTCCAGGGAAGCTCATTTTGAGTGGTTGAGTCATCTGACTGCAAGAGGCTCAGGCAAACAGTGGCTGGAGAAGGATATGTCCTTGCATGTGGCTCTCCACATTCCTAGCCCCAGGACAACTACTCAGGCACTGACTTGAAGGAACAGATAAGGAAGAAAAACTCTTGCGGTTGCTAAAAAGTATATTCATGGCATCAGAAGAGAGAGAAAGAGGGAGAGAGACTCAGAGCATTCTAGAGGTTTCACTGTTACCTTCCCCACCTCTTTTAGCTCTCCCCTTTTTTATGACCTTAGAAGAACAGGGAGATCTTAGTGATCTCTGGGGTTGCTTGCCATACCATAAATAAGACAAAACACGAGAACATTCCCAGGATGGGTTCAGAACAGTGCATTATTTCCAAATGTTGGATTTTTCTTCCTGTATATATGGCACATTTTGATAATTTTTCAGGGACATGGAGGCTAGTGAGAAARCTCTTTTGGACACATTAGAAACTCTCCTGCCCTATAACAGGAGGGGAAAAAATCCCAAGGGCTGGGTGAAATTCTTGGGGGTTTTACCAGCTTAGCCCACTAGCATCATATCCGGTTAATGAGCAGAGAAGGATGAGCTCCTTCTGAGGGAGACAGCACGGGTCCATTCCTGTGATGACATCAGTCACAGATGCTCAGTGCCAGCCTGGGGAATCTGAACTCCTCCTCATGAAGAAAATGACTCTTGTGTTCTAATCTGCTGTGTTTTCCTTTTTGTATCATAACATATACACTCGACTTTGAGCACTGTCGAGGTATCATTTTCAAAAAGGTAAAGGGATTTCCATGAAATGAACATCTCAGAGGTTTTATTCAACTCCTTCATTAATGAGGGAAACAAAAAGTATTAAGGTCTGAGAAGCTAGGTATTTATAGGCAATTTAATAATGTTTGGATAAAGTTACTGGGTTAGGTATGAGAAGCTAGGTATTTCTAGGCAATTTAATAATGTTTGGATAAAGTTACTGGGTTAGGTATGACACTGTTAATGTCCTCTAGGGAAGGAAACTTATGGGCTTAATATTTTCTGTTAGAGATTATTTGCATATGATTGGATAGAAACCTATAAATTAACATATAATTTCACCAAATCTGGGAGTTTTAGTCAGTAGTAACCATCGAGTAAAACAAAGTACATTTCCCAAGATCATTTCTGGATGAGCCTTTGTCTTCCATGTAACTTAAGAAAAATACCATCTATGTATTTGCCTATTGGATAATTTTTCTCAACAGATCCTTGAGATTAGAGTTGGCATTTTTGTTTTGTTTCCCTGTTCCCCAGCCCAGCACCATCTTAGGCATATAACATGCCCAATAGTGTTTACTGAGTCACACGTTTATGTCAGCGGGAGAAAGCTTTTCTGTTCCCCTCTGAAATAATATATCATACGCATTGTTGCTCATTCTTGTTCATAACTTTATGATTTTTTTTCAAAACATACTTAAAATTATAAGAATATTCTTAATTTTGTCATCAGGTGAGCCCAAACCAGAAGTAACGTGGTATAAGAATGGCCAAGCCATAGATGAGTGTGACATTATTTCCAGTTATGAGTTCTTCAAGCATCAGTATATCCATGTGCTACATCTCTCTTGGTAAGTGGCTTTGGCCCTTTGGACTATTTATTAACATTCTCTATTCTGGTGTGTGCTGGGGACTATGAGGTAAGATCAAAAGATTGGCTCATGTTGGCTTCTGATGTCCTGACTTTGGATGCTACTGACAGACATCAGCCAAGGCATCTGGTGGTGACTACAGTCATCCTTCCATATCTGCAGGTTCCACATCTGCAGATCAACCAATCTTGTCTTTGCTGAGTGTGGTCACCAACTACACTTCTCTAGTTTACTGCCTTTGATAGAGTTAAGCTTAATCTAGAATTTTATTTAATGTCCTAGCCATTTTTATTCACAAGATGAGATTTTCACTTAATCTTCTCTTTGGGGAAAGTTAAGAAAGTGAGATAGGATCTCAGCACTATCATCTAACCTACCATGTTTAAGAAGAAAGGAGAAGGGACTGACCTATTCCCCAGCAAACTGATGATGAAATTAAGACTAGAAAACATGTTTTCTGACTTTATTTTGGGAACTAATGGTGATCCAGCACACTGGTTCCTAAGTCTTTTTTATTCTCCCAGGAGCTATTTATTTGGATGAAATGAGGAAGGTCAATATGTAGAGAAAATGAGAATCACTCACTGAACTGATTACAGTGCCCTTATGGAGATCCAAGGAGCAGGGAATGAAAATGTCAGGCAGGATAAGCACATGCCAATGGTCTGAGGATAAGAAAATAAGATAGATTTGAATTCTGGCTCTGCCATATTCTTGCGGCCTGATCTTAGCCTATATTTAACTTTTGGATTTCTTCATATACAGATGAAGAACAAAAGGGTGACAGAGAGAATTAAATGACTTTATGCTTATCACAGTATTTTTAAATGAACAGTTGTTCGATAAACACCAGCTTTCTTACCCTTCATGCATCTTTTTGTTTAAAGTGAGGTCAGAGATCATCTTTCCACGTTTGATTCCTGTGATTTGCAACAGAACTACCCCGACACTCAAGGCTCCAGTTTTCTATTCTATAACTCTTTAGATAATATTCCATCAAGCACCACATGCCAAGCATTTTGTTTAACGCTGGGGATGGAGTAACACAAACACTGTCCACACCCTCACAGAACTTCCACTTGAGATGGAAGACAGGTGGTGAACACACTAAGCCATTCTTTCCCTCTCCACGCCAACACACCAAATTGGCACTTGAACATTTAGAGGCTTGAACCCTTCTGCCTCTTCATTCCAATCTTGCCAATGCCTCCCCCTCCCCGTCTGCACCTCATTCAGGTTAGAATCCACCTCTGAGGTTCACTAGGAAGTTCCGATTACTAAGGAACCTTTCCAGTCTCATTCTCCTCTCCTTCGATTTTATTGCGCAGGCTTCCCGGTGGGTGCTCTCTATTGCCTTCATCAGGATAGGTGGATACGTTAGCAGCCTGTGGGCCTCAGAGGAGTCAGGAGCCTTTCCCACTCCACAGAGGTGGATCCCCTAGAGCCTGATACAATGCCTTACACATAAACATTTGTTGAAAGTATGAGAATATGTATGAATAGATGTGTGCATTTGGTGTTGCTGTTAGTTAGTTTATATGGATCAGTGTTGGCAAACTGTTTTCATAAGGGGCCAGACAGTAAATACATTAGGCTTGCATGCCAGATGGAAAAATAGGCCAGAGTTATTCAACGCTACCACTTGGTACAAGAGCAGCCATAGGTAATATGTGCTTAAAAAAATAGCATAGCCATTCAAATCAAACTTTAAAAAAAAATCAGCAGGAGGGTCACACTTGAGAATATACATATTAAACTTCTGTGTCTGTTTCCTRTCCTTWTTTTTTCCACTCTAAATACTCGCTGTATGTTTCTTGGTTGATTAATTTTATTCTCACACTAAAGCAAAATACAGGATTCACATTTTGTCCAGGAGAGAAGTTCGATGTGTGTTCCTTTAAGAATTGAGACTTGGTATTAATGTTTTYGCTGTTTATACAGGGTTAGGTGTTAAGGGATGGAGAGGCCATGATGAGGTCCAAACACAAGTGACCAGGCTAGAGTGAGAGAGAAAAACATGGAGGAGCAGCTGAGGAAGGGAGCCTCACTGTGGAAGGGGAAGGGAGTCACCATTCTTTGCTTTCAGGTGCATCAGGGCAGCAGATTTTGTAACAAATCAAAGATTTAATGCAACAGAATCACTTTTTCAAGTCCTAGGCCTGCCTTTTTGAAAACTAGCCAAACTACTGGGAGAAGTACTTGGTTCTAATGCAAGAAATGATGATCGAGYGATATGACACCAGATATGGTCACATTTTACTGCTTAGTAGTAAATTTTCTAGGTACTCATGACCTTTAAAAGTTCTGACTTTTGCACCAGTAGTTCTGAATTAGAGTTGCCCATTGATGTTCTGGGGAACCTTTGAATTTCCTTAATGTTTGGGCTTCACCAAACATCACTGAACATCATCTGATGAAATCTGAACCCCAAGTGATTCCAGTGTATTGCCCAAGATGAAAATTGTTTTGCATCCTTAGTATTCATCTGAAAAGTCAATTTATTTATACCAGTATATTAAAGGCTAGTTAGGACAATGAACAGGGTTTTGTGCAAATGCCTTTTAAAGATTAGAAATTAGTTGTTAGTTGTAATATTAATCTCAAAATTTCCTGCCAATATCAATATACCATAAATCACCAGATTAGCTCATAATCCAAAGAAAAGCACATTTTAAAAAAAATCTACTTGTGCTTAGACTTTGGGTCATTAAATCTGAGCTCTTAGATATTTGAAAGCTCCTGTGTGTTTGTTTCTCAAGAACTTTTTGGAGTTTAACCAATCTAATCTACAGTTCTACTTTGAGGCTCTGTGGCTGTATTTATCCACCTTTGGCACTTTCTTTTGACCTGGTGGGGTCCCTTCCCCCTCATCCTTTCATTGTCCTCTCACCACTGTGGAAAAGAGGCTTCAGTGCAGCTGTTGTAACCTTTACGTGGCCACAGGTCAAGGGTGCTTGGCAGGAAGGAGAAATGGATAGCCAAGACTATACTCAAAGAGAGAGAAACTTCAATCATAATATTAGGGTCTGCACTGTAGCTTGAAAAGGAGCTTTTTTTTTTTTATTGAAAAGATGTGGGATTTGAGAGGAAAATGCAAATAGATGTTTTCAACCCCATACTGAAAGCCGGTGGCACCGCTGTGTGTATAAATGGGGAATTGTGGTCTCTTATGAATACAATTTAAAGAAAGGTWGCAAAACAACAGATAAAAATCTGTCCAGGAACCCACACCTAGAAAGAGAGGCTCCTTTCCGCAGCAAGGAGGCCCSTTTTGAAGGTCACAGTCCTGTTCCGTTGTGCTGAAAGAGCACAGATTACAGGTGAGGTGAGAGTGGCAGAGCTCAGYCACTGCCTCGGCCAGTAGGGCAAAGCAGCCCCAATGGTGGGCTGGCAACTCAGCCTGGCATTGGCGGGGCTGGTGAAGGCCCTGCTGAGTACTGACTGGTTGGGGACAATGACCAGATAATGGCAGCCCCCTCAAGCCAATCTGCTTGTGGAGTGTATGGGGCTGGAGAGTATCCCCACCAAGTCCAAATCCACCTGGAACCTCAGAATGTGACTTATTTGGAAGAAGGATCTTTGCAGGTGTAATTAGTTAAATTGAATTCATACTGGAGCAGAGTAACCTCTAATCCAGTGAGTTATGTGCTTAGATAAAGAGAAAACAGAGACATAGAGATAGACACAAAGGGATAGTGAGGGCAGACAGGCAGAGATTGGGGTGATGGAGCTCTCAGCTAAGAAATGCCAAAGATTGCAAGCAACGACCAGGAGCTAAGCCAGGAAAGATTCTCCCTTAGAACTCTGATGACAAGAACTCTGATGACACCTTGACTTTGCACTTCTAGTCTCCAGATCTATGAAAAAATAAAGCTCTATTGTTACAGACCACCCAATCTATGGTAGTTTGTTACAGCGGCTCTGGGAAATGAACATGTGTATCTGAGCARTTGAATAAGAAAAAGTGCTGCCCTTTGCCTACCTTGACATAAAGGTTGGTGGTGTCATCTGGCAGTGTAGAGGTGTCTTCAAATACTCCAGCTGAGCTCATCAAGCCATCTGGAGGTCTACAGGTCAAAGGGCAAATATTTTCCAATTCTGTCCCCAATTGGGTATTGTGTTAGTCAGCTTTATATCMCTATCTGAGATAATGAACTTATAGAGGGAATGTTAATTTTGGCTCACAGTTTTGGAGGTTGTAGTCCATGATTGGTTGGCCCCTTTGCTTCTGGGCCATCATGGTGGGAGTACATGGTGGACCAATTTACTCATACTATGGCCAGAAAGTAAGAGGGACTGAGAAAGGGGCTGGCCTCCCACAATTCCCTTCAAGGGAATACCTTCAAAAGACCAAGACCTCCATACAGCTCCACTTCTTAAAGGCTCTATCATGTCCCAGTGGTGGCCATGGGCTGGGAACCAAACCTTTMTCACATGGACCTTTGGAGACCCTATCCAAACCACAGCAGGCATTGGTTATTAAAGATTTCAAAGGAGAAATCAAAAAGATTTCCTGGGTCGCTTATGTTTTTGGCCTCAGGTAACACTTGGAGATATCTGGARAYATTTTTGATAGTCACAACTGGAGAGGGTAGGGGTGCTACTGGTATCAAGTGGGTAGAGGGCAAGGATGCTGCTAAACCTTGCACAATGCACAGAGCAGCCCCCGACGATAAAGAATTATCCAATCTAAAAGGTTAAAAGTTGAAGAACTAACAAAGAACCACAAAACCGAGGGCCTTAAATGACCAGTGGTTATTTTTCCTGACTCTGTGGGCTGGTTTTGCTTGGCTTACCATGCTCATTCATGCCATCGTGTTGATTTGAAGATTGGTTGGACTTGAAGGTCCAAAATGGCTTGAATGCCATGTCTGGCAGTCAATGCTGCTGTTGGCTAGGTCATCCCAGTTCTCACCTTGGGCTCTCCTCATGCAGGAGCAGGGAGCTGGCTTCCATACATGGCAGTCTTGGGCAGTGTTCCAATATAATGGAGCCCACCCCAACACCAATCCCCGCAAYAGTCTCTTGGCCAAAGTAAGCCACTGGGCTAGTCCAGATTGAAGAGGTAGGAAAATAGACTCCAGCTCTTAAGAGKGGAATGGCAGAGTCACATTGCAGCAAGGTATAACCTTTTTTATCACTAGAACACCTAGTTAATCTTTTAAATCACCTATCTGTAAATGTCTTTGTCCTGTTTAAACAAAACATACAAAAAACCACCATCTGTGGCTACCCCTTGCCTGTCGAATAATTTTCTTCATTTTTAATCCATTTGTTTATTAAATGAGTATTAAGAGCACTTAATACTATCCACAATGCCATATAAAGGAATGCAAAGTCTCCTATGATCTCACAGTGCAATGGAGGAAACAGGAATGTAAAAAGAGGTGGATATTTACTAGGAACACTGTCCCCCAGACATAAGAGTTTAAGCTGGTTCTGTTATACATGGTGATATTTGTGACCATGCTTGGATGGTGTTTACAAAGTGAAATCTGTGATTGTGGTAACATCTCGGGCTTGCTCAGTTATTCACAGCTGAGTGGGCTGACAGACCCCAGGAGCTGCAGGACATGGTGTTACATTCCTAAGACTGGTCTGGTTTGATTTGGTTGTAAGTGCTTGTCGTGTATGTGAAAGACTTTTTCCAGACTCTGGGAGAACAATTAGCCTCTTTCTATCCATGGTCACTCAAAGAAAACTAAACCTTTTGCCAGACACTGGACCAGCACAAATGGTTAGCTGTGACTGAGACCTGAGTGGGTAAGGATCAGAAATTTAGTTAAAGATGTCCTCATTCCTGGAAGACAGGTCTCAAAACAAACATCCTCTTATGGTAGAATTGTCACCATGAACCTCTCTTACAATGGACAGGATATTATTTCCCCCATTGAGAGAAGAATCTGAAGCCAAATTGTGTGGACTTAAGTCCTAGATCTGCAAGATGCATCTTACCTGGCAAGTTATTTAACCTCTCTATGCCTGAGTTCCTCATGTGTAAAATGGGGATATTAATAGTGTCCACTTTATTGAGTTGTTGTGGAGATTAAATCAACCTAGGCAAAAAGTTTAGAATACTTAATAAATATTATTTCATGTGCTTTAAACATGTCCTCTACACAGAACTATAATTTTGGAGTGGATTAAAATAGGGCAGTTTGGAGATAAGAGAGTTAGCTTAGATTGGCAGAATTTTTCCTCTCTGCTATTTTCTTCTCAGAGATAAAATGTAATTAACATTCTTGATCAAGGAATCATTGGGTAGAAATAAAGATGACTAAATCTCACCATGTCTTGGCTAAGAGAGCAATGTCTTTCATCCAAGTCTGGAAGGCATTTTGTGAACTTTGTGTTCTGTGAGCTTAAGTAGGTGCAACAAGTCTTAAGGATGACTGATAGAATTTTCCAGCACCTGGGAGACCTCTGTGTTCCCAGCACAGGGCTGAGGGGGCTCCCATGGCATTCTTCTTGAATGAATGAAGCAGGTGTGCATCATGGTCATTGCTCACACCATGCCTAGAGCCTTGCTTGAATGATTCTGAGAGTCTGACGAGAAACTCCCATTTAGTCCCTGGGGTAATAGGTCTGTACCAAGTATCTTCTGTCCATCATCACATTCCAATTGTGTCTTAAGTAAGTGAGTGTCTCAGAGGAGAATGTCATAGACCAGGCCATGGGGCACTTGCTCAACTTTGCCTGGAGTCAGAAATTTGGTGACTGTTCCCATCTAGAGATGGGACACATGCTGCATGACCCTTGAAATGTCCCTTCATCTACTCATTCTGAAGATGGAGTCATCCTCCCCTTAGGGAAGTTCTTGGTGCTGCTTTATAGTTAGAGTCATGGTTTGATGCTTCTGAAAACTGAAAAGATGTTTGACTTGTCCCATCTGTCCCCTGCTTTAGCTCTAGCACCTAGCACAGCACCTGTCTCCTAGTCTACATTCAGTTAAGATTTCTGGAATGAGTTAACAGTGCATCTGGTGGTTTTGCTCTGTTCTTCAGAGCCTGGGGAAGGAAGCATTCCATGCACAGCCACTTGCACCTGGGCACATGTTTTGACTTACTGTGGCTTTTTGATGGTGGGCCTACTAGTTTAAGGGCATTGGGAAGATATAATGATTTTTAAAAGGCCTCTTGCAGTAGCTGTAGGAGGTCACTGTGTTGCTTGCTCTTGTTATCATTTGAGCTGTAGGGCATCAAGCTTCTGTTTGTTCTGTGCTGCCCTTTTCTGTCCTTCTCACCCACCAATCCCTGGCCTGCTGCTCCAGCATGTGGAGGTTTTTCTTCCAGTTAGAGTGACTTCCTGGCCTCCTTAACCAGCCTTCTCCAATGAGGGGCTGCAACCCCCAGGCTCCGGGCAGCTTTCCCCTTTGCCTGCCAGTTGCCATTTAACCCACACTTGCCCAGGGGGCACCAGAGCTGGTGGGAGAGGCAGAGACAGGATGCGATGGTTGTATAAGAAGACAAAAAAGGTCACAGCAGGCATTGAGGCCCTGACAAAGAACAGCAGGCAAAGAAAAGCAATTAAATGGCAGTGAGTTTCCTGCAGGCTGAAGGTCTCTGAGCYTGGTGCATGGTTGGTGAGCCAGCTTTTGAGAGAGAAAAATTTTTTCTGCTCTGGTTTTGCTCATTCCCCTGTCTGTGCCCAGAGCAACTTTTGAGAGTCACAGAGTTGCATGGGGCTGACGGAGGGCGGGGCAGACAACTTGACAGGCAATGAATAGGGAACTCAGCCCAAATTGAGCAGTGAGTCAAGTAACAGCTGGTGTTTTTCTGAGAATTTAATAAATAAATAGACTTTTGTCCTTTGTAGGACTTTGGCATCACAGAGCTGGAAGTGACTCTAAGACCTTGCAGCTTGAGTTTGGACCATCAGCATCAGCATCTTCTGGGAGCTTGTTACACAGAAATCCATCTCCAACTCCAGACCTAGCCAATTGGACATTGTACTTTACCAAGATCTCCAGGGACTTATGTACATGATGAAGGGATGAGAAGCCCTGCTCTAAGGGTTATCCCTGTCCTGGTCATATATGACACCTGGGGAACTCAAGAAAATACCACATCTAGATTCCCTCTCTTGAGGAATTCTGCTTTAGTTGGTCAAATCTAGTTGGTCTAGTTCACTCTTTGGACTTTATAGGTCACTGAAGGCCCAAAGGAATAATGGAACCCACCCAAAGGAACATGGTTGATTAGAAACAAAGCTCGGCTTGGAACCCAAAGAATTCCATTAGTTGGTTCACAGCCTACCCGTACCATCCTCCACACAAAATTTACTGCTGGTCTATAACTCAAAAGCACTTATCATAAGGACTTCCTTTAAAATGAGGATTAGTTGAGGGTCTGTCGTATTCCAGCGACCATTCTAGACCCTGCAGATACAGCAGTAAATGTGAGAGTCCCTCACCTCTTCAGAGATCACACAAGAAGTCAGACTTTTAACAAACCAGCAGCTATGCAATGTGTCAGGTGACAAAGAATAAAGGAGGGTGAAGGAGGAGAAGAGTCTTAGGGAAGGAGATTTCTCTGAAGGTATCCTCTGAGCAGAAGGGGAAGGGCAGGGTGGGAGGGTGATGAGGTCATTTCCTGGAGAARGAATGATGTCAGAGAGTAAGAACAAGGATAGAAGCCAGAGGTTGGGAACATGCCAGGCCACTGGGACTGAATTCGTAATGCAAAGGAGGGATTGGAGGGTCAATGTGGATCTGATCATGTGTGACTTGAAGGTTATTGTGAATGAGATGAGACATGTTGTAGGGTTTCTAAACAAAGAAACGATATTTTCTGGTTTAGTTTTTCTTTTTAAATAATTTGTTAGTTGTAGATGAACATAATACCTTTATTTTGTTTATTTTATTTGTTTATGMGATGCTGGGGATCAAACCCAGTGCCTCACACATGCTAGGCAAGCACTCTACTGTTGAGCCATAATCTCAACCCCTTATGGTTTAGTTTTAAAATACTGACTCTGGTTGCCAGGCCATGAATGTTTACAGAGGACTCAGGGGACAGCTGGGCCCCACTCCCACAAGCAGCCATTGCAGGAATTGAGATGGTGGCTC